AACTACTTATAACAGAATGTATGCAAAACATACTATAACAGAATGTATGCAAAACATACAAGAACATAATAACAGAATGAATGCAAACATTACCTAATAACAGAAATGCAAACATACTATAACGACAGTTTTGTATGCAAACATACTATAACAATGTTTGTATGCATAAATATGCTATAACAGAATGTTATGCAAACATACTATAACAGAATGTATGCAAACATACTATACTAAACAGAATGTATGCATAAATACTATAAACAGAATGTATGCAAACATACTATAACAGAATGTATGCAAACATACTATAACAGAATGTATGCACACATACTATAACAGAATGTATGCATAAATACTATTACAGAATGTATGCAAACATACTATAACAGAATGTATGCATAAATACTATAACAGAATGTATGCAAACATACTATAACAGAATGTATGCATAAATACTATTACATAATGTATGCAAACATACTATAACAGAATGTATGCATAAATACTATTACATAATGTATGCATAAATACTATAACAGAATGTATGCATAAATACTATTACCTAATGTATGCATAAATACTATTACATAATGTATGCATAAATACTATAACAGAATGTATGCATAAATACTATTACAGAATGTATGCATAAATACTATTACATAATGTATGCATAAATACTATTACATAATGTATGCATAAATACTATTACATAATGTATGCATAAATACTATTACATAATGTATGCATAAATACTATTACATAATGTATGCATACTATAACAGACAATGCTATGATTGGCTGGTAATCTGATACATATACAGGATTAGGTAATATTCAATTACTTTTCTTCCCTCGCAAAATTTTTTTACTCTACATATATTACAAGCAGGACTTGGATTTTTACCCTAACCTGACATTTCGAATGAAACACAAATATTTTTTTCTACACTGTTTTAATTTTAAATTGGAAAATATATATAAGCATATTCGTTTGAAAACGAAATCGTCAAATTATACCAAAAAATTCACTATGACTGCTATGTCATTACCTTCTTATATATTACCTTTCATTGTATTTACAACATATACATTTAGTCATAAATGCAAAAGAAATATGAAACACTTTACATTAAATAAATCATTTAATCATAAGAAAACAGTAAATATATGTATTATCATTTTAAATGCAAATTAATAAATGTTGTTGGTATGAGGTGATTCTGATTTAATTTGTTACGGCAGCTTCCAAGATTTCTCACAAGCACAAAGCTTAATTATCGATCTGATATTTTGCAAATTCATCATATACATCTTTGGTAATTTTTCATATTATTATTCCATGCTTAGTTAAAGACTATTTTTCAGCCATTGCATAAGGGAAGCAATTGTGTTTCGATTAGACAAATTGAAATACAGGTGTTATCTAAACATTGCTTTTCACGACTTTTTATCATCCCGATCTAATTTTGATACTCTCGTTTTTTTCCTCCTTTATCTTTATAGATTATATTTGTTACTTTTGACTTTTATGAGTCGATTTCTACAGTATCTCAAAGTTTGATTTGAATCATAAGAGCAATTTGCATGATACAATCCTTTTTTTTCTCGGCTAACAATTTTTTTTTCTTTATTTGATATGCATCATAAAAAGGTGTCATGTTTGTTGATAAGTCAAGTTGTTTTAATAAATGCTAAGACTATATGCTTGTTTAATGTTTAAAGTGAATTTTCTTCATACCAAACTTCATAAATTAAAGTAGATGAAACAGAATACGCACATTAATGATATGGTATCATTTCACAATTTTTACCCTACCTGGCCATACATGAAATACTAACCGGTGTAAATTGAATAATAATTAAAAGTAAAAACACAAAATGCAATTTGTTTAAATGATATATTAGCCAGTTATTTTTACTTTGTTTATTTTATCGTTGTGTTGACTGCCTTTTCCCCTGCTAAGTATCCGTTGATTGTAAAGACCGAAGTAAAGATAACAGTAAATACCTTGTAAATCAATCAGATGATAACCTATTGAAAACATGACCTAAATACATCGCACTCGGTTTATCTACCGTAGATATAAGGTTTGTAAATGACTTGTTTAAACAAATATCAGTTTCTGTTTGATCTTAACCATTATTATGCCTTATAAATTATCTCGACATTTCGTTATCTGGACTTTTTTCGATGGTCCTGGCGACTTTGATATGTGCGACTATAATATGTTATATATTCAATGCAGATTTCTTTATCAATTCGAAAAAAATCAAACTGTTATATTTCTAATCATTAACTTCAAAACCTAAAATGAATGATTTTACAACATTGTTTTAACATTTATTTAAACAGTTAGTAGTAAGTTGCTTTAGTTTTTTGAATAATTCTTATTAAAGTAAATTACTTATGTTATCACATGCAATTGATTGATTTATCACTTTTATAACTTTTGAGGCTGATTAATCGAATTAAATGGTTTATACTGATTCTCACTAGTTTTTTCAGAATGTTGTTAATATATTATAATAATATATCTAATTGTATATAGATGTTTTATTGACACATTGTAATTCCTTGTGTATAATATGTAAATTAGGTTAAGTAACACGATGATAATAAAGGCTATACATTTGTAAGTTTCAAATCATACACTGGTTTTACTTGTATCAATTTTGAAGCATTATATGCGTTCAAAAGTATAGTTTAGAAGTAACATTTGTTTTGTTTTGTTTGTATAATTTCAATATTTTGTGCCATATTACAATTGCAATAAATCAAAATCATATAGCTTTGATTAGTTAATGTACTACAAAGATCAGTGTATGGAAGAGAATTTAAAGACAATGTCTCTCTCGAGATTGCAAGTGTTATACACACACGACGTATTTCTTAATATTATATATTTCAATGTAGAATCACTCAAAAAGTAAATGACTGGTAAATTAAATATATAATCAATTGTAACCATAAATAATGAAAGACATAAATACTTGCAGTCACGTCATCTTGCTATGTAATTAGTTATTTACTTTTGCATAAATGCTTGAAAATGACACTTTTGAGAGTTAATTTGCAAATTCAAGATTCTTCTTCTTCTTCTAATTATGTTTATTGTTGACTCAAATATTTTCTTGAAAGAAAATAGCATTCAGTTGTTACAACGTGACAAATATGATAAACAAGATAAAACAAGAATAGGGGGCGTTCAATGAACGCAATCCCCATATGACCAAGCAACAAGAACCAGTGGCAAAGAGCCCAGGCGGACCCCAAACAAAAGTTCTGCAAACGTCGTCCAAACACTTGTTTGAGAAGGGGCGTACACATTGCTGTATATCTCAACCTATAATGAGTCCACAACCAACTATTTCCATGACCAGTTTACTACCGCATAAGACATCGAGACCATTCGGTCCAAAAACGTAAACTCATAATATAATGTAAAGCCTTAGTGTTCCAAAAACATTAAAATTGAAATTTAGGAAGCAACGTCATATTGGTAAAAAAACAACTAATGAAACTAATGGAATGCAAAAAGACAGAAATGGCATTATTAAAGACAGACAATTTTATGTTATTAATTTATTGTAAGTGTACACTTAAGATATGACATTTTCTTAAGAATATTTTCAATCAGACAATATACACTTTTTGATTAATTTAGGAAATTAATGAGATGTTGTCAGAAGATGAAGGCATGCTTTGAAAACATGGTGTTTTGTGTTATATTTACAGAATGAAAATGTAGCAACATCCTGTCCTATTGTTGCTGGTGGGTGATGTAAACTGAATGAGCCATTTTTGAAATTTGACAGTGGCCATGACGTCATTATTAATATACTATCCAACAAACGCATCAACAACCACTCATGCATCTTTGATTGCTGTAGTCGAAATTTCGATAAATTTTGCGTTTTGTTGCAGCGTAGATACGAATCGGTATTCAGTTTTCAATCAGTGCTGGCGGCCATTTGGAAATCGTAGGCCACTGTGGTCTTAATTGTCTTTATAGATAATGTTTCAAATTTATTTTTTTAATGGTTAATAACTGGCATTTGTTTCTCAAATTATGTTTACATCATGATTGGATGTCTGAGATTTTGTACTACTTCTGTATAGGTATTTTAACATGGACTTCGCTGAAGGGAGATTCGTTTGACATATTAATTTTTCAGTACACTTAATATTTCATTGAACATAACCTGAGTATGTTTACTCTGTACCATAAGTTGGATAAGTGAGTATATGTGACTAAAATAATGAGATCACATACATTGTAACGAACTTTGCCCTACATGGAAAGGCCTACACACTTTAGGTGGTGAATAGTCATTTTCATTATCAGTTGAAGTATTACCGACCGTAATTCGTACCCATACAACAACTTTCACTGGTACCTTAAAGTAATAAGGAATCCCACCACATACCAGCATTAAAATGATATTACTCTCCCACCGGAAACACTATGTTTTGCGTGCGTGCCAGTGAATCAGTTGCTTACACACTTGTTTACTGATTTTACTCCAAAGTAAATGTCACATTATAGTCAATTATTTATGACTTATTAATTGCAATATTAGAGTATTTGTTAAAAACAGTTTAACTATTTTGTTTTGCATTTTATTTGAAAAAAAATATTCTACTGCATATACATTATAGTAACATATACTTTTAAACAATAAGTAAGTGTTTCAAAATATATTTATAATACACATAATGAGAGTAGCATAATAATAGACGCATCAGTTCAGGTCAGAAATATTTTAAGCGTTAAATTAAATGCGCAGTAAAAGTAGTTGGGACAGTTTAGGCTCTAATTACAAGCCTTGTATTTTCAATTTTGTATAATAATATAGCCCGATGTTTCAGTGTAGAAACTCCAAATACCTAGTTACCTTTTTGTAGCATTCATGTATTATGTATAATGGTATGTAGTAAATCATCCGACCAGCAGTAACCTAATTATTGGCCAAGTTAGTTGACTTCTAAATGTATATATAATAAAAACAAAGAAACCGTTGGGCATTTATTTCAATCATTTCATATTGTAGATTCTTTCTACATAATATTAAGAATTTATGGTCAATCGGGAACTATTTATCTATTCTCTGTGAAGGGTGAGAAATGGATGCTCCTGCTAATTTATAACGTGCTTTATAGAGTCAAATAAGTTTCATTGCCAATTTAAATGAGCTTTCAGTTTAAGAGCATTCTATACAGAGCTGTAATCAGCAGCCATGCAGAAAATAAAATATAATGGGAAAATTAAATCAAACACAGAGAAAAGGAGAATCCCTTAAGAACGCCCAAAACGACACAAGTAAACATTTGTAGACTTATTTTGACTGATCATGTTCGTGGACAATATCGGAAGGTGCAAGCTGCCATCCATGCATCCTAGCGCCGACTGAAATAGACTTGAATATTTAGACATGAAAATGGTGAAAATTAATTTGAAATTTGAGAGAAAACAGTTAATCACGGGCTATGGATAGTGTCAGGGCAATAACTTAAACATGAAAGTATTGTATTATTTGATAAAAACATTTATCATTAAATTGAAGACATTTATGTATATTATACTAAATAATAAAATACATAAATCTTTGACGCCAAAACAATTAGATAGAATCACGTACCACATTTATGTGCTCTATTTGAAATCATCAAATACAAAAGAGGTTTTCTGCACTTGAATGTGATTTCTAAGAAAAAATAGTTATGAATTGTTTTTGCGAACAAAGCTTTCAAATCTTTTAACAAATTCCAATTCAACATAAAACTTTCCATTTTTATGAAACACTTCCCAATTTTCCACATTTTGCTGTTCATGCTCAATCATATTTTGGTGTGTTTGGTGTGTGGCGTTGTCTTCTTTTTCGACTTCAATAGATAAAGGGGGACTTTTCCGCTCTGGAATCGTAGATGATTTCCCCGTAGCATTTGGAATATCTTTCTTTAGGTCAGCAGGTCCCATAGCTGTTTTTTCAAAACCAATGATGTTGATAACTCTTTTTGCGTCTGTAACATAACATGTAATGAATTGTGTCAGATATCTTTCTATAACACAAACATTTTTTTTTTGAAAATTACATTACAAAACTATCAGGATATAAGCAAAACCATGACATGGGTCATTTAAACAATTTGATGCAGTTTACGCTGCTTAAATTATTTATACACATGTAGAATTAAAAAATATTTATCAGATAATTATTATCTAATATTTGAAATGTACCTTTTTCAACGAGATTTTCCTGAAAGCCATTTACATGCCCAGTTGCGAAAATCAAAGTCGGTGAGATGATATTTTTACTGATCAGCTTTTCAGAATTTATTTGTTGTGGTTCTTGTAAATGAATTAAGCTTGAAATGTTTAGCCCTAGTTCCTTAACGAATCTTTCGACAAGTGGCAAATTCGCTTCGGAGTAGACGTCGACAGTCCATTCCTTTGATAGATAAAAATAAAAATAATATGTTATTACATCAAATCCTGGCGTGTCTTTTAGTTTATAGCATTCTTTAAACAGAACAAAAATATTTTTTGTATAAACAAAATATCAAACAAACGAGGGTCAGTTTACTATGTACCCTTTACGAAAGGTCATTGTATCCCGAAATTAGATGTTTCAGTAAGTGCGTGTTATTGTGACCCTTCTTACCTTGATTTTTCTTGACTCTACAAACGTTTTGATTTCTTTTATAGCATTTGTATTTATCTCTTTTACATCATCTGGAAATTTCCTGTTTGTAAACCTTTCAACAAAACCTTTCAGAAAGCTTTTGCCCGAGAAGTCCATCATCAAAATTTTTCCAAAGTTGAACATTCCAGATTTAGAAATGGTTTCGATTTTATATGACGTGTCTTCGTCTGGTCCGTACATGTAAAAGTAAGTGACTATAACTCTTTGAAGGTCTGTGACATTGTCTGTTATAAAATATACTAGTAACAATAAGAATCAGAATATCAAACTGAATAATCAAACTGAATATCATTAACATTTAAAATGTGTCTTCATTTGTAAATAGAATAATCAAAAATATTAATGAAAAAAAACAATGTTTTCTTAAATAAATGAAGAAAAAAAATGGAAAGTCATTCAAAATGATAAAAAAAGAATCCGGGTTTTTTAGGCAGCTTTAATATGAATGTAAATCAGTTTTCATTGAGAGTATGTCTGGTGCTTTTCAAAAATATTTTATGTTTCATTTCTTGAAAACCATATTAAGCGTAGATGTACATTGTATTTGTTTTCTTTCTGAATAGACTTTTACGTGATTGTCATGTTCAAAATATTCAATTACATTATTATTCCGAAAGAAAAATACTACATATATCGTTCAATATCTATAACGAAAACAGTTGAAAACTCCTACCTTTATTTAAATTTATTTTTGTTTCATTTAAGCATTCTTCAATGCGTGGGGAAGTGTGTCGTACAACTGCAATGATACAAAGAGAATCCTTTTCATCGTCATTACAATCGTCAAACTGTTTGACAATGATATTGCACTTGAGAAGATAAAATTTAAGGCGTTCGGTAAAAACCTTCGTATGGTCTCCATACTCAGCATCATATATTAGAACCTGCAATAATATATTATAGCAAATCATCGCTTGTACGTAAATATTCATAATATTAAGGAGTTAGTGGTTCGAGTCTTGTATGTCAAATTGTATTGATAAAATAACCGAGCAAAGCATTTTCAGTAATCTCAATGGTAAAATTGTATTGATAAAATAACCGAGCAAAGCATTTTCAGTAATCTTAATGGTAAATTTCCTGTTACCATGGCAACGGGGGACGTCTCAAAATTTGCATTGTTTTTTTTCCATCAAAACTGATTTCAAAGTGCTGCAACTTCTCAATGAATTGAGAAAGAGTAAAAGGCTTTTCAGTGTCGGTTACTAGTTACCCTAAGATCGACCTGATGCCATTTTTAGCCTGTCACATGTCCAAAATTTTCTTGGCGATGAGGGGGACTCCGCCCCCTTCAAACCCCCCAAACAAAATGGGGCACATCCCCCTTCTGGCAACCCGCTGATGTAATATTTGGATGGGGGACGGCGCCGAAAAAGTGGTCACTTTTTTAACAACATTTCTCAAACGAAAAACAGTGTTGGGGGCCTAAATAGGGCTTTTTTCACTGTTTGAGGCCTCAAAAAGGGGGGGGGGCAAAAAGCCGTCGAAACACGCTTATATAAGGGAAAAGGTTAACAAAAAATGATGAAAAGCCTTGGAATTACACAAAAACTAGATTTTCCATGTTAACACATGCCCTTATACCGAAATTTGGTGAAAAATTGTTGTTTTTTGACTCTTTTTTTTAACCTTTTACCCCATGAGCATATTGCGAAAAATGGACGTTTTCATTGAAAAGCCTCCTGATACAAGTTCAAACTGCTATGAAACTATGAAAAATGCTTCAATACCAATGAAACTTGGCACAAATGTTGACTAGACCATAGCCTCTGCAACAGCATGCTTAATGGTAATTTTTTTAAACAACATTTCTCAAACGAAAAACAGTGTTGGGGGCCTAAATAGGGCATTTTTTCACTGTTTGAGGCCTCAAAAAGGGGGGGGGACAAAAAGCCGTCGAAACACGCTTATATATGTGAAAAAGTTAAACGCCATCTATTTTTAGGGGGCCTCCGTGGCCGAGTGGTTAAGGTCGCTGACTTCAGATCACTGGTCCCTCGCCGCTGTAGGTTCGATCCTCACTTGGGTCGAAATATTTCATGTGAGGAAGCCATCCAGCTGGCTTACGGAAGGTCGGTGGTTCTACCTGGGTGCCCGCTCGTGCCTGAAATAATGCCCGGAGGGGCACCTGGGGTCTTCCTCCACCAATAAAAGCTGGGGAAAAAATCGACGAAATAATCTCGGCGGGACACTCTACGATGGCCCGACTTGAGTGTACGGTCGCCCATATGGGCTTTCCGGCGGCGATCTTAAATAAACGCATTAAAAAAAGACAACTATTTGCTCGATACTAGTAGTATTAATTTATTTTTTGTATACAAATGTTTAAAATATACTTACTTGAAAGCTTTTTACATAATATTTTCCTATGTTACAACTGAAACATTAATGTCACCATACTGTCAATCGCTGTTGCTTTACAAATAATTGTTAGTAATGTTTTGTATGAAAACATTAATACAGTGATCACTCACATAATTTGCAAGGTTATAACACTACGGTGTAATACGTTTATATATAAAAAAAACTGTATTAAACCCCTCTGCCGCAGCGTATGTGATAGAAGTTATTATGATACATATCTGTAAAAAGAATAATCACAATGAATGCATTACCATAATTATTCTTCAAAAAGTCCAAAATCATTGCTGTTTTCATTCTTCGTACATACAGCTCATTTTTTTAATATTTCCCCTCAATAAGATCAACTGTTTTAATATGTTCCTTTCAAAACATATACAATCGATAAGTCGTTAGTTTGCTAGTGTTGTACTATAAGAATCCTACACTGGCTGCCGGTACAGACCGGAATATCTAGCTCGAGGGTAATGTTTACAGCGGTAACGAGGCTCTGCCGAGTTTCCGCAAAACAGTTACCCGAGAGCTAGATATTCCCATCTGTACCGATAGCCAGTGTTTGATTCTTTTTCTTGCATATTACATGTCAATTATTTTCGGAACAGAAATTATGAAAACTGATATTCTCATTACGCCCTTTTTCTTATAGTAGCGTATGAATTTACAACTCATTCATAACGAAAAAAATGACGTCATCCTAAGAAACCGAAATTT